TAAGCCACAGTGCCGGCCCCCTATTTTCTTCTTAAGGAGCACTCCGGGAAGCAGCAATTGCTCAAGTACCTGAGCCTCTGGCACCAGTATGGGAGACCTGGATTGAGTTCTGGGCTCTCTGCATTGCCCTGGCCCAGCCTTGACTGTTGGAACATTTGGGGAGTAAACCAGTGGATGGAAGATCTTGGCCTGTTTCTATCTACCTGATTTAAAAATAAATTTTACAAAAAATCCTTGTTTTAATGTTGGGCACTTCTGAGAAATCTCTCATGTTTAAAATCATTATAATTTAACAGATTCCAGTTTACTTTTAAAAATGGCCTTAGGGGATGGTGCTGTGGTGTAGCAGGTAAAGCTGCCACCTACAGTGCCGGCATCCCATATGGGCTCCAGTTCAAGTCCTAGCTGCTCCACTTCCGATCCAACTCTTTGCCAATGCACCTGGGAAAGCAGCTGAAGATGACCCAAGTGCTTGGACCCCTGCACCCATGTGGGAGACCTGGAAGAAGTTCCTGGCTCTTGTCTTCAGATCGGCGCAGCTCAGGCCGTTGCGGCCATTTAGGGAGTGAAACAGCAAATGAAGATTCTCTCTCTCTCTCTTTCTCTGTAACTCTGCCTTTCAAATAAATCTTTTTTTTTTAAGGATTTGTTAAAGTGACCAATTCAGTTATGTTTAAGTTAAATAAAATTATAAAATAACAAATCTATAAATGTGGAAAAACAGGATGTACTTCAAAACTGCCAAAATAAAATGTTTAATCGAAACTGAGAGCACCAACTTCTCTTTTATAGTCAAATCAACAGCAGGCAATTGAGGGGAGGTGCTGTGGCACAGTGGGTAAAGCTGCCACCTGTAGTGCTGGCATCCCATATGGGCAAAGGTTTGACTCTTGGCTGCTCCATTTCCAATTTAACTCTCTGGTATGGCCTGGGACAGCAGTAGAAGATGGCCCAAATCCTTGGGTCCCAGTACCCACATGGGAGATCTAGAAGAAGCTCCTGGGTCCTGGTTCCTGGCTTCAGATTGGTGTAGCTCCGGCTGTTGTGGCCATCTGGGGAGTGAACCATTGGATAGAAGACCTCTCTCTCTCTCTATCTATCTCTATCTCTATCTCTCTGCCTCTGCCTTTCAAATAAATAACCCTTTTTTTTTTCTAAAAAAAAAAAAGTAGGCAATTTAAAAATTAACCTACTAAGTTTTCCTTTACAGAGTCCTTGAACTTGTGATGGCATAAAATTCACTGTAAGAAAGAGGGGTTTGTTAAATGCTCTTCAAAGCAGAGACAAAGCAGCTGCTGCAAGAACACACACACCAGTGGTAGTTAGTCAGAGGGTGTCGGATAATAAACTCTGCTTGGAAAAAAGGTCGGATGATTCTGTACAAATAGAGTGAGTCCCAATCATAGTCTTTAAAGGTAGAAAAATCATTTGTAATACAGTGATTCTGTATCTTTATGTTGAATGAAACAGTACTCAATGGTAATAGAATACATTACCTGTACAGGCATCCAAGAAACAAACTGAAAATTTGCGTGAAAAATTCCATGACTATACTTGAAAAACAGTAAAATATTTCCTAAGGTTCACATACTCCCTAAATTTTATCATTAAATTCATACTATGTAAGATACTATACTGTATCACAGTTGCTGTAAAATAGTTATTAAATATGGACCATTAAAGAATATAATTTGTGGGAGGGCAATAATACTGGTCAGAGAGATTATTTTAGAAGTATTTCCAGGGTGAACACTTAGGCTAGCTGTTGAGATGCTGATTAAGACACCCGCCTTCCACATCAGAGTACCTGTATTTGATGCCCAGCTCTGGCTCCTGACTCCAGCTTATTGCTGATGTGGATCCTGGAAGGCAGGAGCAATGGCTTAGGTAACTGCATTCCTACCACTCACAAGGGAGACATGGACTGAGCTCACAGCTTCTAGCTTTGGCCTAATCCAGCCCTTGTCACTGCAGGAAATTTAGTGAGTGAACCAGTAAAAAGGAGCTCTCTCTCTCCCTGTCTCTCAAATAAATTTTTTTTTTTTTGACAGGCAGAGTGGACAATGAGAGAGAGAGAGAGACAGAGAGAAAGGTCTTCCTTTTGCCGTTGGTTCACCCTCCAATGGTTGCCGCGGCCGGCGCACCGCGCTGATCCGATGGCAGGAGCCAGGTACTTATCCTGGTCTCCCATGGGGTGTAGGGCCCAAGCACTTGGGCCATCCTCCACTGTACTCCCTGGCCACAGCAGAGAGCTGGCCTGGAAGAGGGGCAACCGGGACAGAATCCGGCGCCCCGACTGGGACTAGAACCCGGTGTGCCAGCGCTGCAAGGCGGAAGATTAGCCTATTGAGCCACGGTGCTGGTCTCAAATAAATAATTTCTAAAATGGTTTTCCATGAGCATTTAGCTATTTTTGATCTTAAAATGCTTACTTGAAAGGCTTTTAAAATGATAGATGTTCAAATAGACTTTCAAAAGAGTGTTATTTATGTTGGGAAAGGGGGTGGATAAGGCAGCTTAAATGCTTATCTAACAAAGAACAATTATAATGTGAACTCCTTGATTGTTATTCAGAAAAATAATCACAAACTTTGTCAATCTCTTGAAACCTTTGAACTGTCATAATAATACTTTAAGTAGGTAATATGTCAGACAAGACAACTTATGAAGCTTATTTCAATACTACAAAGATGAAAAAGAAAAAAAGCAAACAGAATCAAGTGATTTCAATGAAGGTACTGAAATGCTAACCATTATTCAGAGGTTTTTTTTTTCCATCATCCACTTACTAAATCTCACAGATAACTGGAGTAGATGCAACTATTTAGATTTCAAATATAAGCTCATGGTTTCTACTGAGGTTTTGCTCCTTCCAAGTTTGAGCTTTTCAAAGCTGCAACTCAGCAAAGCAACTGTGAGTGAGCAGGATTACTCTGTAAATGAGTAATGCAAAAATACTGTTAAGAAAAATTCAATACTCAAGGTGGCACAGTACTATCAATATGTTTTTAAAGCTAGAAATGCAAAAGCATACATTTCTATGACAAAGGAACAGCATTAAGATGTTAGCAGAGATTGGAGTCTCTTCTAATTCATTTAGGTCTATTGGCAGTAACAACTTCTTTCAGCCTAGCGAATTCGAGCAAACACCTGCTAACTTAATTAGTAAATTAGTTAATTACCATGTAAAAGGGACTAAATATTTATTTTGTTAATGACTCCATAGAAAGCTAAACACAATATTCCCTCTTTTTCTGTTGTTTTATTGGAGCCAATAATATGAGGGCATTTCAAAAAGTTTGTGGAAAAATAGATAATGTGCATTTTCCATGTGAAATCCTGTTCACAAGGATATTCTTAGGTAACTTACAACATTTAAAAGACCACAATGCTAGGCTAAATAAGAAGATAAAGATGCTTAATTTGCACCTTTAAAGTTCTGAGTACTTCCCATTCACCAGGAACTCCTAATGGCCTACTTTTATCCAACATCTAATATATGATAAAGATCTCACTTCATCTTCCAAATAGGTGTATGACTCAGGTTTTATTATCTTTCATCATCTAGATAAAGACACAAGTTACTTTAATGGGGACAGAAAGTTGTATGATTCTAGCGTTAGCCCCTCCATTCCACTGCCTTGCTAAAACAGTTTCAGAACCTTAGCACTCTTTTAGATTGAGATTGTGCTCAATACTGATCCACACTTGAGCTATGCAGGTGCACTACTGAGATACATGGTTCTTTACTGAACAGTTGGGCTCTGAAATATGAACACAGATGCACTACTTACTGTGTTCTAGTAATTAAAATCTTAAGACAGTCTGGAGCAGTGAATCAGATAAACCAGTTTGTGGTCCCAAATCTACCTGGAATTATCAATGTCGTTTACACAACTTGAATGAATAAGCAGATGTCAGGTTTTGTTGTTTGTTTCAAATATGCAAAGTGAAGGAGCTGCACCGATAGCCCTTTCTTAAATACTACAATCTAATTTGAACATTATCAGAGCACCCACTGTATGCTCTACTGTGGCACTGAGGATTCACACATATGTAAACTGCACCTATTATAATTCAAGGCAGAGTGTGAAACACACGGTTGGTTTTTCTTATAGTGAAGGTTATGCAAATAATCAAGCTCCATGGGACTCTCAGAGAGGGGGTTCTAACGGATGAGTTTGCAATGGGTTTAGATATTGACTCCCCCTGGCAGATATGCTTATGACATGCACACGCACCCATGGCCGTGAGAGAGTCAAGAAGGGCGAGAGATGCCACTGAATGTCAGGCAAGGGGGCTGAGTCTCACTGAGCAGGCAGAATTGCTTCAACTCTCATTATATATTTTGACTTCATGGACAGAAAAATGCACCCTTTACCATGAATTCTAGGTTATTAACAGATTTTGAGGTGAAGGAAAAAAAAATCAGAGACTATCTCTACTAGTTGAACATCCTACCCTCACATACTTTAGTCAATTTTTCCTAATGATGGTTGTGGGACAGAATTAAGCCTTATTATCTTAAGGCATACACACACACACAAAGTAAGAAATTAACTTCTTCCCTAAATCTAGAATTATACTAGAGATCTAAAATTCTTGGGGAAAACTGAGAAAATTATTTTCTGTATCCCTTTTCCCCTTAATTAATGAATTAATTTCAGAGGCAAAGTGACAGAAAGAGCTCCCATCCACTAGCTCACTCCTCAAATGCTCCAAACAGCCAGAGTTGTACCAGGACAAGGCCAGGACCCAGGAACTTGAGGGTTCCATATGGGTGGCAGGGACCCAATTACTTAAGCCATCAACTGCTGTCTCCCAAGGGTGTGCATTAGTAGGAAGCTGGCATTGTGAGTGGAGCCAGGACTTGAACCCAGGCACACTGATAATGAGACACAGGTATCCCAACTGGCATCTTACTGGTGAGGCCAAATGCCCACCCCATTTTCTGAGTTCTCTTGAGCTCACGATTTTGTCAACATTTAACAGCTGCTTACCACTGCAAACAGAAGAGGTGATGTTGTACAGAAAAGGGTAAAACTGCATACAGCGGATCAACTTCAGGCTGTTCTCACACTCTGGGCATTTGGTAGTTAATTTCAAAGCCTGTCTAAAGGCTTCAAGTGCTCCACTGATATTCTTCAGCGCAAGGTAAGCATTTCCCAGGCTCAAAAAGGTCAGGGGCTGAAAACAAACAAAATCAGCACAATGTTAATGAGTTTTATGAGTTGCAAAACCTTTATATTTTATGTCTTTTGGCTTTTCTTAGGTTACTCCATGCAGGTTATTGCTAACTGTCTGTTTTATGCACACTAGACAATTCTAAACTGTCTTACATAAACAAATTTATTTTTTACCTTTTATGAAGATAAATAAAAATATAAAGTTTGCAACTCAATGAATTTTTACATACATATAGATCCCTACAACTGCCACTTGGCTCAAGATACACTAAGGACATTTTCAGTACCCCAGGAGGTTTCCTTGGGCTGTGATACTGTGACATCTATCACCATAGATTTATTCTGCCTTTTCTTAAACTTGACTCACAGAAATGGAATCAAACACCATGTTCTCTTGTATGTGACATACAATGTCATCCATTCATAGCTTCCCCCCCAATCTAAAACTCATTCATGTTTCTGTGTGTACTGATTGCTTATTATTTTTTGTCAGATGGACGTCTAATGCTATGTGCTATGCATACAGCAGTTTGTTCATCCATTCCCCTTCTGATTGGTATTTGCAATGTTTCCATGTTCTTGCTATTATGAATGAATATTTTTACACATTTCTTTATCAGAAATTTTATACACATTTTCCTAGGCAGGCATGCATTTACTTTTAGTAGATCTAACAGTTTCCCAAACTGGATGAACAAATTTACATACCTACTGGCAAGTATGAGAATTCATTGACTTTGTACTATCAGTTGTTTTAATTTTAGCTATTTTAGTAAGCTGAATTGGCATCTCACTGTGGTTTTAATTTGCAGTTCCCTGAAGAGGAATAATGTTGAATATTTTTCATATGCCCATTGGCCATTTGAATCTTATTTCTGAAGTGCCTGTTCTTTTCTCCATTTTAAAGAAATTAGGTTGTCCTTGATTTAAAGGCGTTTTCTCCATTTACTAGGTATTAGCCCTCTATTAGAAATATTTCTTACAAATATCCTCTCTAGGACTGTGGTTTGCTTGTTTACCCTCTTAATGGCATCTTTTAATGAGCAGGAATTATTAATTTTAATGAAGGTCCATTTTCTTCTTTTATAGTTCATGCTTTTTGAAATATCTACCTACTACAAGGTCAAAAGACATTCTCCTGCATTTTCATCAAGAGCATTATTGTTTCCTTTCACATTCTGGTACATGATTCACTTCAAATTAATTTTCTATGATGTGAAATAGGAGTCAAAGTTTTTATATTTTTCCACAGGGATATCCTATTACTCTAGCACAAATTATTTAGAAAACCAAAAAGCTTTTCTCCCATTGAACTTCAGATGTATTCTGTCATATATCAGTGACCATATATGGGGGGATCCATTTCTCTTTGAATATCTTGGTGACAACACCATACTGATTTAGTTATAGTTGAATCTTGAAATCTGGTAGCGTAAGCCCCCTAATCTCTCCCCCTCAATTTTTGGCTATTTTAGGTCTATTTCTATGTAGGTCTGAGAGTCAACTTATTAATACCCATGCACATATATGCAACTGTTAGATGTTTTAAGGTGGAATTAAAGCCATAAATCAAATTGGAGAGAATGTACATACGCAACCGAAACTGCCAATTCATGGACAAGATATAAGGGGTCTTCAAAAAGTTTGCAAAAAACATGTATTTTTTTATTTAGTCTTCTTTTAAAAAAAATTTTATTTAATAAATACAAATTTCCAAAGTACAACCTTTGGATTATAGCAGCTCCTCCCCCGCCCCCCATAACCTCCCTCCCACCCGCAACCATCCCATCTCCCACTACCTCTCCCATTCCATTCTTCATCAAGATTCATTTTCAATTATCTTTATATACAGAAGATCAACTTAGTATATACTAAGTAAAGATTTCAACAGACTGCACCCACAAAGACACACAAAGTTTAGAGTACTGTTTGGGTAGTAGTTTTACCGTTAATTCGCATAGTACAACACATTAAGGACAGAAGTTCTACATGGAGAGCAGGTGCACAGTGACTCCCGTTGTTGATTTAACAATTGACACTCTTATTTATGACATCAGTAATCACCCGAGGCTATTGTCTTGAGCTGCCAAGGATACGGAAGCCTCTTGAGTTCACCAACTCCGATCTTGTTTAGACAAGGCCATATTCAAAGTGGAAGTTCTCTTCTCTCTTCAGAGAAAGGTACTGCCTTCTTTAATGGCCTGTTCTTCCCACTGGGATCTCACTCACAGAAATCTTTCATTTAGATTTATTTATTTATTTATTTATTTATTTTTTTTTTTTTTGCCATAGTATCTTGGCTTTCCATGCCTGTGAAACTCTCATGGGATTTTTAGCCATATCCGAATGCCTTAAGGGCTGATTCTGAGGCCAGAGTGCTGTTTAGGGCATTTGCCATTCTATGAGTCTGCTGTGTATCCTGCTTCCCATGAAGGATCACTCTCTCTTTTTTAATTCTATCAATTATTATTTGCAGACACTGGTCTTATTTAAAAAACATGCATTATTAAAAAAGGAAAAAACTATGCATGGATTTCAATTTTTATGCACTGAAATAAACATATTTTAATTCCATTTTTCAAGAACCTTTTGAAGTACTCTCATATACTTTGTCTTTTCTGTTAGCAATGTTTTCTAATGAGTCCAGAAATCTTGTATATTTTTCTTTAGATTATTCCTACATATGTGATGTTTTCTAATGCTATTATAAATAGATTTTATATACTATTTTTAAACTGTGTGCTAAGACTATTTTTATAAATAGCCCAAAACAGTGGAGGATCGCCCAAGTGCTTGGGCCCCTGCACTCGCATGAGAGATGAGGAGGAAGCACCTGGCTCCTGGCTTTGGACTGGCACAGCGCCAGCCGTGGTGGCCATTTGGGGGGTGAACCAACAGAAGGATGACCTTTCTCTCTGTCTCTCTCTCACTGTCTGTAATTCTACCTGTCAAATAAATAAAAAATTGTTAAAAAGACATAATAGCCCAAAAATATTCAGTTTAGGCAACTTTAACTGAAATACTCCTATGACTTTGAGAAGGTGAAGGAGAAAGCTATGAAGAAACTTGATGAGATAATATTTCAAGCAAAGAGAACAGAAAGTGCAAAAGCCCTGAGGTGGAATCATGTGTAGCATATTTAAGGAACTGTAAGAAGGTAAGTGAGGCTAGAATAGAATTAGCCAAAAGAATGCCCTCGTGGAGATAAGCTAAGAAAAGCCACGAGGTCATAGAGGACTGGACACTATTAAATATCCTTATGTTTAGAGTGGACGTTTGGTGCAACAGTTAAGATGCCACGTGAGATGCCCACATCCCATGTCTGAGAGTCTAGGTCGGAGTCTCAGCTCCAGCTTCCCTCTGATGCACACCCTGGGAGACAGCAGGCAATGATTTCAGTACTAGGTTCCTGCTACCCCCTTGGGAGACCCAAATTGAGTTCTTGGTCCCTGGTTTTGGTTTGGCCCAGCCCTATTTGTTGATAAGTGATCAGCAAATGGAAGATCTCTGTGTTTCAGTCTCTCACTCTCCGTCTCTGCACTTCAAATAAAAATAAATGTAACAAATTCTTACGTTTACCAAGAGTTATATAGAAAGCCACTGCAGGGATTTAAATAGTCAAGCGACAACATCTGACATTTTTTTTAAGGACATCACTGCTTGCTGTTTTAGAACAAACTGTATGGGGAGAAAAGCAGAAGCAGAGAAACAAATTAAAAGACTATCAAAATAATCCAAACAAAAAACAGTAGTGGTTTGGATCAGATGGTAGTGGTGATAATGATAAATAGTGCAAATCTTGATGCATTTTTTTTTGACAGGCAGAGTTAAGACAGTGACAGAGAGAGACAGAGAGAAAGGTCTTCCTTCCGTTGGTTCACCCCCCAAATGGCTGCTATGGCAGGCACGCTGCGCGGATCCGAAGCCAGGAGCCAGGTGCTTCCTCCTGGTCTCCCATGCAGGTGCAGGCCCAAACACTTGGGCCATCCTCCACGGCCTTCCTGGGCCATAGCAGAGAGCTGGACTGGATGAAGAGCAACCAGGACAGAATCTGGCGCCCCAACCAGGACTAGAACCTGGGGTGCCGGTGCCACAGGCAGAGGATTAGCATTTTTTTTTAAAGATTTATTTTATTTATTTGAAAGACAGAGTTACAGAGAAAGGTAGAGATAGAGAGAGAGGTTTTCCATCTGCTGGTTCATTCCCCAGATGGCCGCAACGGCCAGAGCCAGGAGCTTCTTCTGGGTCTTCCACGTGGGTGCAGGGGCCCAAGGACGTGGGCCATCTTCTGCTTTCCCAGGGCACAGCAGAGAGCTGGATCAGAAGAGGAACAGCCAGGACTAGAACGGCACCCATATGGGATGCCACTGCTTCAGGTCAGGGCGTTAACCCACTGTGCCACAGCGCTGGCCCCTCTAGATTCATTTTGAAAACTGAATCAGCAAGGTTAGCTAGGCAATTGAATTTGCTCTCAGAAAGGTATGAAAGATGGCTCCAAGTGCTGTCCTGAGCTACTAGAAAGACAGCTTTACTGTTCCTGAACTGCAGAAAACTGGGGAGAACAAATCTGGAATAGTGCTAAGGAGTGTGGTTTTAGCCCTTAGTTTTTGAGTGCCCTCTATACATTTAAGCTGAGATGTCAAATAAGCTGTTGGATGGGAGAGTCTGGTATTCAGAGCAAAGATGACAGGTAACTCAATGGTGAATGGATCGTCTTCTCTAGACCTGGTGCTGGAACAACTGGTGTGTGTTTATGAATGAACTGATTCCTACCTCACACTACTAAGAAAACTTAATTTGAAATGAATCACAGACCTAAATATAAAACCTAAAACTGTAAAATAACTAGAGGACAACACATTTTAGAATCAACTACTTAAAGATCCAGCCAAAGCAAACAAACAGAATTAATGTTTTCCAAATGTCTTGTAAGGAAACTTTAAATATAGAAATAGAATTTAAAATTGGAAAGACTGACAAGTTTACGGGTAATTTTTAGATACAAATGTAAACAGAAAATATTTTTAACATGACAGATGGAATTAAGGATTTTATTGTATAGAATTCAAAATTTCAAAAAACTAAACTCTAACAAAATTAGCTTGTTACAACAGGGAAGTAACATTTTTAAATAAATAGGCTTAGTTCATAAATGCTAACCTAGAGATAGTATAACATGGCTGAGGACTGTGAGCTCCGTGGCCAGTCTACCTGAGTTCAAATGCAAGTTCTCTAACTTTCTGTAAATCATTTCCTTTCTCTGATCATTGACTCTTGGAGAATCCTCATCTATCAAAGGGGAGATTCTATGTCAGAGGTTTTTATGAGGACTGAATGGGTTATTACATGTACAATGCGTAGTACGGTACCTGGCTCCAGTAAACAATGAAGAAAAGTTAGCAGTTATTTCAACTGTCCAAGTCTGGTGATAATACAGGTAAAATGAGTATTTTTTAGACCATGATCATGGTAATATATATTGGCCCAAACCTTCTGGTGGATTGTTAGGCATTTAGTACCATAGCAATCAAAATAGCCCATGCTAATGACTTAGAAATTATGCTGCTAGCAATCTGTCCTAAGAAAATTATCTGTTAACACAGAAAAGGCCTTAAGCAGAAAGCATTACAGACAATAGCTAAGCACTGTCAGCAAGCAAATTTTTAACAGCAAAAGAATAACTATTCAACCTTCTGTTGAGCCTTTATACAGCCATTTAAATTGATGCCTTTAACAACTATGGAGTAATAAATAAATATAAATAAAACAAGATTTAAAGATCACCTGTACAGTGGAGTTGCAATACTATGAAATATTTGCATGGAAGACACGCTTATAAGGAAGTATTTCCAAATGCTGACAGTTTGGGAGGGGGTGCTGGTGAAGGTGTATTTTTGAGATAGCCACCTTGATCCACTGATTTATCTCTCTGTTCTTTTTGGAGTATCATAGTGTTTAACAAACAATATTTTTAATATAATTAAAAATACAGGAAAGCAGCAAATCTCTAAAAGGAGTTCTTTTTTTCTGCAGAAGACTGCTTAATGGCCTTGGTGGATGGCAGTAGAAGGGAACCATGAGAAGTATCAAGGGAACATGGCTGTACAGTGTGTTCCACTTGCACACTGTCACTTCATCCCACTCCATGTCATTCACAACTGCGTCCTCTCTGTCCCACCCTACCAGCCCCTGGTACATATTAAGCATTCGATAAATACTAAAGTCCGGTTTTGGCTGGAGAGGGAACTGTGGTGCAGAGGATTAAGTTGCTGCCTGGGACACTAGGACCCCTTAACGGAGCACTAGTTCAAGTCCTAGCTGCTCTGCTTCTGATCCATCTCCCTGCTAATGCAGCTGGGAAAGCAGTGGATGATGGCCCAGCTACCTGACCCCTGTGACCCAGGTGGGAGACCCAGATGGAGTTCCAGGCTCTTGACATCGACCTGGTTCCCTGCACAGATTGCTGTGCCCATTTTGGGAGTGAACCAGTATGTGGAAGACTTCTTTCTCTCTCTGCCTCTCCATCTCTGTCACTTGCCTTTCAAATACATAAAGTGATTCTTTAAAAAAAGTATTTTTTGGGCAACTAAAATACAGTTGTGAATTTGTATATTTCAAAGAACACTCATAATAGGCAGTATTTTCTTTTCATACTTAAAATAATAGTTCACGATATCTCAAACCTAAGCCATGTGCACACCTTTTCTAAAGTTTTTTTTGGATATAAATTACATAAATATTTTAATACTTGGTATAAAGTCAATTTAACTATATGTTTACTGTATTGTGCCAAACCTAATATGAAAGCAATTGAAACATATATCCTGATTTCAGAGATACTAAATTATGAAACAAAAAGTGGCATCTTCAAAATCATAAACTATAGTAAATGACCACAAAGCAGAGGTATAACTCCACAGACTGCATGGGGGGAGATTCAGGGCATAAATATCAATTTACCTTATCCATCAATACAACCTTTCAACTGTGCTTTGGCTCAGATGATATATACAGACTAAAGTTGTAAGCAATAGTACATTAAGCATACGTAGGGTGTTTCATACTGACATAAAAAAGTGGCAGTTTATTTTTATACCTGTCATTCTTATTTAAATGTAAAACTGTAAACAAAGGATAACTGTAACTTTTACACATTTAAACTAAAAAAAGAACACATCAAAGTAAAAACAAAACAAAATATTTATGTCCTCTCTTGAAATATCCAATTGCTATTCTGAAAAGCAAAGCATGACATTTTTTATGCCTTCCCTAGAAAAACACAAATTGTACTTTTGAATTTGAGTTATCCTGTATAGTACACAGAGTCACAGAACAGCACAAAATCTCACCTCCGAGCTATTAATGGCCAAAGCTTGAAGCAGCAGCTTTGTGGCATCAAGATGAAGGCCATAGTGAATTAAAAGATTGGCCAAGTTGACAAGAGGAACATCCTGGTACTGAAGAGGAGCTAAATTCAAAGCCCTCTGAAGACAGGCAATAGCGAAAGTGCTGTTTCCTACTGCTCTCCAATACAGTCCAGCTTCATTAAGTATGAGCCAGACTGGAGCATTTGGCTGAAAATTCCAAAAAATATTTCAGTTAGCTCAAAAATGAAATATTTATTCTAAACAAGATCTTTAATAAGTACACTGCAACTTTTAGTTATAATTACTAAACATTTGAGTTTCAGATGTCCAAGGTAAATGACTCACCTTGTTAATAGCATGAAATAAGAAAGACCCAATTTCCTCTTCTGGGATAGTATAGTTCTTAATACGGGAAAGCAAGATCTGAAACATCAACAGGAACACTGACTCAATTGAAAATATTAGGAAAGACATCTGCAAAGAATTCCTCTAAGGGAAAGCTCTTACTCAAGCTTCTCAGGAACAGCTAAGTTGAACAGATATTTATAATCACATATACATGATGAGGTCACTGTCACACCAACAGGCGTTGGCCTTCTTGCATATGGGTACTAGTTCCCATTAACTAAAACAAATTAGAAGACATGTATCTACACACATACATATTTAAGGTAATCTACCATAAATCATTAAAGTCAACCTAACTGTCCAGAACCCAATGAGAAATTATTCAGAAGACAATTACATACTATAGTTGATACAATACAAATCTGCTATTTTCTCTAGCTGGAAAACACCAGAATCCTGATCAATCAACTTTATGGTCTTGCAGCATTTATATAAGTGTGTGAAATTCTAAAGCAGGGATTATGATCTTTTTTTTTGAAACTTTTTAAAGATTTATTTACTTATTTTTTGAAAGGCAGAGTTATAGAGAGAGGGAGAGAGGCAGCAAGACAGAGAAGAGAGATCTTCTATCTGCTGGTTCACTCTCCAAATGGCCACAACAGCCAGGGTGAGGCCAGGTGGAAGCCAGGAACCAGGAACTCCATCTGGGTCTCTTACATGGGTGCAGGGGCCCAAGGTATTGGGCTATTCTCTGCTGCTTTCCCAGACACATTAGCAGAGTGAGGGATTGGGAAGTGGAGCAGTCAGGACTCAAACTAGCAATCATATGGGATGCCAGCACTGTAGGTAGTGGCTTAATCTGCTGCACCAGAGTGCCAGTCCTAGATTATGGCCTACTTATCTCTGTATTTAAACACTCAAAAGAGTGCTGGCACATGTTAATTCTGCTTCAGAAAACACCTGTTGAATTTAAGTAGTTAACTGCTTACAGTTTTAAAATTAAGCTTTCAAAAAAGGTGGTTGTAATGTTATGTTTTCGCCATAAAGAGGTAAATTATTTAATTTGTGACTATGAAATGGCATCTAAGAGAGTAATCTATGTTCAGTAATAAGAATTCTCCAGTGATACATAAGTAACAAGCATTAAATAAAAGAGCATAAAAGAACTTATTCGTGATGTTTGCAAAAGGGTTATCAAATTAATACCAATTCCTAAGGACCTCATATAAGGCCAAAGCAGTACTGATAAGGCCAGGAAAGAGACTTCAAGCTTTCACACAAGTTTCTGGAGGCTTGGCGGGTGCAAAGCTCAAGTGAGGAGGTCAGACTGGCCTCCACTAGAGCTCACCTAGGTAAGCATTTCTGTGTTAGTCGTCTTTGTGACCCCCCAGTTAGAAGAATAAATAGAGCTCAGGGGGTCTACGTAAACAACAGCCCCTAGGAACACTTTCTGGAGCTCCTGTAGCAGCAAGACTGACTTCTCAGCTCCCGAACTCCTTAACTCTATCCTGCAGGTTTATAAACTTAAAGCTGCCCTCTAACAAGTTTTTGTTCCATCTAAGAGGCTTCCGAAGTCACCCAGAATGGACGGCAATAAACACCAGCCTAAGTGAGCCTTACTTTTCGTGCATGGTCATCTGGCATTTTGGCTTTCAGATCCATGCGGACCTCTAATTCTTTGACTAAGTAGGACAGGGTGTGGCTTTTTCTGAAGTCAGTTATGGAACAGTCAGGGGTTTGGGCCTCCTCTTCTGAAGAATAATCATCACTGGTGAGTTCGTGGATCCTGGCACAAGAAAAAGGAACAAGATTCATATTTTCAAAGTTTGGGTGACTTCAAGATAAGACTTAACCTTTCAAGTCCAAGGCTGGTGCTCTCAAAGAACCGCCAGACGACAACCATGCAGAATCAGGTGCTTTGCCAAATCCATCAGCACTTGCCTGAGTCCTTTGTTTTCCGGAGGCAGAAAATATGTTGGCAATTCCCCACCAACGGGGACTCTAGGGTAGCTTTCTGCACAGTCTGCTCTTTTAGGCCATAGAATGTGCTGTTTGTCCTAATAAAAAAGCAAAGTTCCCATAAATTTCTTTGGATTCAGTATTTCAACACGGTAAACAAACTTTTAAAAGAGTGTAAGTATACTGGGGTAACTGAACAGGACCGCACTATTTTAAGGTAAATATAGCTATTGTCTACAATATTCCTTCTACTGCAGATTATTAGTCTAACTCGGTAATTCTACTGGCTTTCCCACAGACTGGTTCAGGATTGGCAGGCTTAAATCAGCTGAGCCATTGAGACACATGGAGAAGAGAAGCAAGTCTTAGTCTCTTACGCTATATACAAAAAAGGAAATTGTTCGAATTGATGCTGTCATCTTATGACCAGAAAGAAAGTTTTTGGGTGAAACCAGTGCTATGGATAGCAGACTGAAATGGGTCACCCCTGAGATCAATGGGCTACTAATTTAATCAAATCTAGAATTTATCTTATGTCTGGGCTACTTATAATAACAGGCAAATTTTTATTTTGTTTAAGTGAAGAGAAGGTTGAGTTTGTGACTTGTACCTGAAAGCATACATAAGCTTAATAAACTGGCATAAAAAACCATTTTTCTCTGAACTAAGATCTTTTTATTGGCAATGACAAAGTTTAACAATTATTTTTTGATTTGCAAAATGTTCGTTTTTTAAATAAAAACAATTATACCAGATGCTTACAAAATTTATATCCTGACCTGAAGCTACCAAACTTTTGAAGAATTTGTATTATATAGAATTAAATCTAATTGGATATATTAATTTTGTTTTAATAAATACTTAAAATCTGAAAACTCAATGGTGAACACAAAACACACGGACTTTGCTTTCACAGTTTGGTATTTCCATTTGCAAATGTATGGTTACTTATAACTAGCCTAGAAATGCATATTTACTCTTATAAGCTCCAGGGTAGCAAGCAGTTTATATACTAAATTTCTAATCTGAACCTGGTACATAGCTGGAAGCTCAATGAAAGAATGTTGATTACACAGACATATCTCGGATTACGCTTAGAAACCTGCTAAAGTTGGTAATTATACTCACAGTACAAACTTTGGATTGAAACCAGGATGTCTATCTTCCTGACTTGATTGCAAAGCAGTCAAGGCAGATCCTAGGTCTCACTCATCCATTCTTGAGCAGAAAGTTACTAAATTTTGTTGAACTAAGATGAATGGTGTTCAGGGCCACATTAATCAGAGGTTGTGGGCCACTTCTCTAAGCAATCTTGTCTGTTTGAGAAAACTTGTTCACTGTTCTCTATTAACTTACCCTATATGCATCAGAGTCCCTGCCCCAGATCCAGAGAATAGAATGGGCTACAGGGGAAGACTTTACAGAGTCACTGACATCACTCTGATTTGCTTGAACATCAAAGTTCACAGACATCATACTGGAGGTTGATGAATCCTCACCAAACTAGAAGATGAAAAGAAAAGTTCAAATTACAAGTGGAAAAGGAATTACAGCCAAGACTTAATTTAAACCAAAAAAGCTAGTGATTATTCAAAATTAGTAGGAAATCAGAAAGTGGGTCAGTAATAAAGCAATCCAACATTTTCATTTTAAGAACTATACCCCAAGAGCATTCTCTTACAGATAACACAAAGTTGGCAACTTCTAATCAACATTGCCACTGGAGAATGAGAAAAGCAATTGTTTGGATTGTTCTCCTGTCCCATTACTTCTTTTTTATCGCTTAATCTCTTTCAGGTTTAACGATGAACTAGTTTAGAGATTTGGTTCATTATTCTTCTCCCCTGCTTGGACTAAAATAATCCCCATAAACTGAGGGTGGTGTGGGTAGAACAAGTTTTCTTAAGGGTTTAAATCAGTTATTGCTTAGAAATTATACACTAGCAACTGATTCTGAATAAATCTTTAGAAGTAAAAAGTACAAAATGAAAGAACACAAAAATTCATAGCTTTCCTCCAAACCAAGACAGACCAATGTTTGATGGACAGAGTCAAAAGATAACAAAGTTCTTGTGTATTTCTGAAAACTGGCTAGATAAGGGAAGGGAACCATAAAAAGGATAGGGAGGAAAGACATGAGAAAAAATGGAATTAATATGATTGATTTGTAGCTCTAGGCCTTTATGAACAGAAATGGGTTTCTACATTCTATAGTGGTGATAAAATTTTATGAATATAGACTTTTTAAATTCATTTTCACTTACTTGAAAAGCAGACACAGAGAGAGATACGGAGATAGAGAGATAGAGGTAGAGGTACAGGTAGAGGTAGAGAGAAAGAGAGAGAGAATGAGAGAGAGAGAGTTTGTTCATTCTTCCATCCACTGGTTCACTCCCTAAATGCCCACAACAGTCAGGGCTGGGCTAGGCTGAAGTCAGGAGCCAGAAACTCCCAAGTGGTCTCCTATGTGGGTGGCAGGGGTCCCAGAAGCCCAAGCACTTGAGCCATCATCTGTGGCTTCTCATGATGTGTTAACAGGAAGCTGGATAAGAAACAAGGGAGCCAGGACTCAAACCAGCACTCTGATATGAGATGTGGACTTACTAAGAGACAGTTTAGTTTACTGCACCACAATGTTTGCCACTGAATATAGACTATTGGAAGCTATCTGGTGCAAGGCAGTCCCCTTAATGAACCATCTTGAGCCCACTGAGATACCTAAAAGTCAAGTCAGTTTCAATCTACTTCACTTCTAAGCATTTTCCTTTTTTCCCTTTAAAATATATGGAGTTAGGGAGCTGTAATCCAGAGTGTGAATCTGGTCTTCCTTTATTGCTTGTCTTGAAAATCAAACATTGGATATGGTAGGAGCTGGTTTACAAAAATCACAGGAAGCTGCTCATCCCTATTACTACCGCCCTCCTAAATGGCCTCTTAATTTTTGTTTCTTACTCTTTTTCAAAGTGGTCTGGGTTTTTCAGATTACTTTCTGGTTTCCTGTGGTTTGTCCTGCTACAGAAGCTCTCTTGACCTCTTCACTGCTTCTCTCTCTAAACTTTTCTATCTATGACTGGAGACATGATGAGTGTTCTCTAGCACAGTATAAATGTTTGGTATTCAATCTCCTTTTTAGGATTCTTGGAATTTTGGTTATGCTTACTGCCTGTATCACTTATTCAACAGGTTACATACTATTAGGCGTTGTTACCCTTACATACTACTTCTCAACTACACAGGCTAGGATGGATTTGTGTGTTTATGTGTACCTGTGTGTGTGTGTGTGTGTACAGAGACAGAATGAAAGTGAAAGCAACTAACTAGCAATAGAGCTTAACCAATTTTTTCTGTTGGTGACTTTCATTATGTTGGTATTTTGGTCAAGGCAACCTCACTGGACTGACTGGCTCTCTTTCACATTTTAAGTAGGTTTTCATCTTAAAAGGTTAATGGGGATACAATGGCTTGGAGTCAAACAGTAGTAACAGCCCAATTCTAGCTCCCATGGAAAAGGAGAAAAGAATAAAATTCATAAATAAGCATATAAAGATAGCACTTTAGGGAAATGGAATGATATCCATGGAGTAAGTAAGTACTCCCAACAAAATATGACTTCATAAACATAACACTCAGACTTATAAAGACTTATAAATTATAGTCACAAATTATAGGGATCAAATAAGGAAGGAATCGAGGTGGGAGAAAGGCAATATTACTCTCAGATATGCCAAAATTTGTAAGAACTACAAGAGACCAAGAAAAAGACCTGAACGTAGTCCACATTTTCAAAGATATCTCCACGATGGTAGCGCACAGGCTGGTCCCACTGGCAGTGTAAGCTATGCTGCTGATTAACCAGACGGCAGATCTGATGGTTTCCTGGAATGACCAAGGAAATTAGAACAATGACAAGAAAGATCAGCAACACCAACAGCTTTTCTTAGCTTAAGTCATTTAGTTTCCATCTTGTATCCTTCAGAGCCTAGTCGAGTTATTTACATAGGGAAACACTCACTAATGGTAAACTGAATCATTCTAAGGAGAAGTCCAAGTTTCTACATCTATAAAACAAAGTTGCCTGACTAGCAAGTACATTCTATGATTACAAATTTTATTGACAGTACAAGAGACTTCTAAGAGACTGTGGCCATCTCTCTGTAATTTCCCTTCAGAGCTCATAATTCTGTTTAAAATTTACGTAAGAGAACTCTACTTACATTTCAGTAGAGTTTCAACAGTGATAATTCCAAGGACTGAACATACCCTTTATACTCCAAATAGCAAAGAAAACTTATTAGGGGGATTCTAAAATGGACTGTAAATGGTCAAAACTAAATTTTAAGGTTAAGAGGTTTCCCAGACCAATATATTATTTAAGGGAGAAGGTTGTAATTTAGGGAATTCTATTAATTTATTCTCTGATGGCAACCTGTCAGATCTGCTCTCTTGAGGTTTAATCAGAATTGAAACATCCTGGATATAACCAAATTCAATGGTCTCCTGGCAACCCCAGTTCCCCTAGATCAGTGGTTCTCTTTTTGGGTCACAAATAATAATAGCTATACACCTTCTTCCTCCTCACCAGAACTGTACATATGTGTATTCTACATATAATGTTGGACAAGATTTCAGAACTCTCTGAACTAACCCATTGACTCAGGTTAAGAATTCCTACTCACTGGGCCTGGCAGTATGGCATACCGGTTATGCCACTGCCAGCATCCCATATAGGTGCTGGTTCAAGTTGTAGCAGAAGACAGCCCAGGTGCTTGAGTCCCTGCAGCCATGGTGGGAGACCAAAATGGAGTTCCAGGCTCCTGGCTTTGGCCTGGCCCAGCCCTGGCTGCTGTGGCCATTGGGGAGTGAACCAAAGGACTGAAAGTCTCCTTCTCTCCCTCATCCCCATCTCTCTCTCTCTGTAACTCAGCCTTTCAAAAAAAAAAAAAAAAAACAACCAACTTTTTTTAAAAAAGAAGACAAAAATAATTCCTGATTAAGACAAATCTACAATTTCACTTTTGCAGCAAATGGCTGCAACAGCTGGGGCTGGGTCAGGTCAAAGTCTGAAGCTCCTTCTGTGTTTCCCATGTGGACAGTAGCAACCCAAGCACGTGGGCCATCACATGCTGCCCAGGGTGTACATTAACAGGAAGCTGGAATTGGAAACAGACCTGGGATTCAAACCTAGGCACTTCAGCATGGGATACAAGTATCCCAAGTACGCCTTAACCGCTGTGCCAAATGCCTACGCCAAACAGTTTGTTTTTAAGGGAGCAAGACTTCAAAAAAGAAAAGATGTTTAGCCATACTGCCAGTGTCAGTCAAAAAGCATGGGCATGTTGTTTCTACTGTGTCTGACTTGTGCTTGCGTGGTGTGAAGCTTTGTTCCCCACAATGTAGTGTTCAGAGCAGCAGCAGAAGCACCACCTGGAAGCTGGTTAGGAAGGTGGAATCTCCGCCCCCGTCCCCCACCCACCCCGCCCCAGACCTACAGAATCAGATCCCTCATTTTCCCAAGATCTCCAGGACACTCATGTGCATAGTGAAGCTGGAGAAACACTGATGCAGGGCACAGAGGACAAACACCTGGGGTGACTCCTAGGCTGTACAGGATCTGATTTTTATTTCAAATGTGAATTTAAAAAGCAAAGGGAATCAAACCAGCTCCTCAGGGCTTCTGGTATACCCTCTGTAATGAATCCTGATTTTTAGATCAAGGGAGAGGCCGGTGCTGTGGCATGGCGGGCGAAGCTGCCGCAGTGTTGGCATCCTATATGGGCTCAGGTTCGAGTCCTAGCTTTTCCACTTCCAATACAGCTCTCTGCTATGGCCTGGGAAAGCAGCGAAAAATGGCCCAAGTCCTTGGGCCCCTGCACCCATGTGGGAGACCCAGAGGAAGCGCCTGGCTCCTGGCTTTGGATTGGTGCAGCTCTGCCTGTTGTGGCCAATTGGGGAGTGAACCAGTGGATGGAAGACTCTCTCTCTCTCTCTGCCTCTCCTTCTCTCTCTGTGTAATTCTGACTTTCAAATAAATAAATATTTTTTTTTTTTAAAGATCAAGGGAAGGGGGCCCAGCGCTGTGGTGTAGTAGGCTAAGCTTCTGCCTCTCCATATGGGTGCCAGTTGCAGTCCCAGCTGCTCCTCTTCCGATCCAGCTCTCTGCTAGGGCCTGGGAAAGCAGAAGATGGCTGAAGTGTCTGGGCCCTGGCACCCACACGGAAGACCTGGAAGAAGCTCCTTGCTCCTGGCTTTAGATCAGTTCAGCTCTGGCCGTTTGGGGAGTGAACCAGTGAAAGGAAGACCTTTCTCTCTCTCTCTCTCTCTGTCTCTATTTTTGTAACTCTGCCTCTCAAATAAATAAATAAAAATCTTAAAAGAAAAAAATAAGATCAAGGGAAGTCCTAAACACAACTGTGTATGACGTTAAGGCTACCCAGAAGCTTTGGAAGTAAAGCATGCCAGAGTGAAGTTCCTAACTTGTTTTCAATTACTTGGAGTCACAACTTACCTAGTTGTGCCTCTTTTGCCATCTGAGTCTCATGGATGATATTTCTTAGAATTTGCTCCTCCTGAATCAGCTTGTGTTTTTCTAGGATTTCCTGCTGTCTCAGGTAGTGGTCATGCTGCTTTTGATACTCTTTCAACTCATTTAGTGTTCTCTGGAGGGATCTTAACATTTTTTAATATCAGGAAAAAGAGCTTTAAAAACGTGAATTTTTTTAAAGTCACTTAAATCCATAATTTTTGTGGTTCTCAGAAATAACTGCTAGGTTTTTCCTGTTTACTTAACATTCGGTCCTGGACTACAAGCTTAAGAATAACATGATTAAACAAATGCCATTCTTTTATTGCAACCTGAGGGTAGAAATTTCGATGAATGTAAAATTCTTCTCTTAAATTTACATTATCTTGACATCAAATGGTATGTTGGGCTCTTCAAGTGCCATAAACAGTATATCACAAAATCCTTTAAGTCTTTACCTACTGAACATGTTTACTTCCCTCAACAAAATGTGTGGTGTTTCCACGGATACTCAATGCCTCTCTGGAATCCTTTCCTCCTCTTCACCTCTTCCTTTGATTCTGCCTTAACACAAGGTTAAGATTTGGGGCTACAGTACCTTGCTCTCACACTCTAGCTCCTTGGTTTATAAAATGGGAAAAACCAAAGAACCTTTGCTTGGAAAGGAATATTTTTTTGTTACCTGATTCTAATAAATCAGCTGCCTCAACACATTTAGTGAGGCAGCCTTAATACCTATTACATAGGTAATAACAGGGCATTCAGTTTATCTTATTAGCTACTACACCGTAACATAGGGGAATCTTAGGAGTTACCCAAATTGTCTAAGAAGGCATTAGAACATAATATTGGACACTCAGCCAGGTCAAGTTCTGATCAGGTATAACAGAAACTAGTCATAAAGAAGCAAGCTGCCACTCTTTCTTTTTTCTATATTATGCTTTAATAGGTTGAAAAATAGGCAAATACAAAAGTTTAATGAGTCTACATCTACATTTAATTCTCTAATAACTAAAGCGGACTCTATTTGGAGATATGAGCAGTTCACTTCAGAGTTATGTGAAGTTCCTTAACTGGCCCTAAAACTTATGGGATCAGGTATTTTATTAAGTATATTGCAAAGACCAAGTACAACAAAATTCTATTATTGTGCAATTTAACACACAAATCTGATTAAAATGTTGGCGAAATTTATCAGTGTCATGTGACTAATATAACAGCAGCCCAATCATAGGAACCAAATGGGAAGAACAGCAACTATACATGTGATTTTTACTATGGAAATAAAAATGAAAATAACAGAGTAAGTATCTCTCAGCCTTCCAACCCCATCCAGTTTCACAGAAATCATCAAAGGTCAAAACTATGAAGATGTTAAAGACAGCTTTTATCGCAAAAATCCTCCAGACTGTGGCATCCCTGCCATTAGAGACTTCTCTACACAACCACTGCATTGAGCTAAACCACCTGAATTTGGAGAAAGGGGACAGGACTCACCCAAGTGAAGAGGTTTCTTTCTTAATTCTAATGATGTAATTAAGATTGATACCACCCTCCAGAGATCTAGCCTAAGGTTTTAGGGTGCCAGTACTTCAGAGAAATTTTTTTCTACCAGTTACCTATGTTGAGCCTCCAATTTTTGTTCCAGTTTTTGCTGACACAGGACAGCATGCTTTCTCTTTATAGCCTGCTCAAACCCAGGTTTGGCCTGCAAAGCATGGTCATAACAGAGCACTGAGTGGTTATACTCCCCAAGCATCTGAAGAGACAAAAACAAACACACACATATGCACACACACACAGGGGAAGAAACATTAGCCATGGCCCAGTTGCGCAGCTCCAAAACCCCCAGCGATTTATGAATTCACACCTGTATCTCACAGTGACATTATTTGGATTAGCCAAATCCCCACAGGATGAAGGCATAGCATAGGATGATTATAGTTAGAAGGGTTTGCTATCCTTAAGGGATGTATCCTATACAGGTTAAAATTCCAATCAATTTAATTATTTTCCTTTGTTGTCAAGAGGCTAGAACAACTATCATATATTATTGTGCTGAGATTTCTTCCCCCTAATTTCTTCATTAAAAAAGGTAACATTCTACTAAGGAAAAAATGAAAAGAAAGAAAGTACCAACTGGTACAACTCATGAAACAAAAAGTAGTATTTACTGCATATATATTCCCCAAAGTGTAATAGCTGGTGAAGAAGTCACTGTCATCCAGAGCTGCGTGGACCACGACAGCAGCGTCAGCAGAGAAGTGTGCTCTGTGCAGAACGTTCGCCAGGTTGACCAGGGCGATGTCTTTATTGTGCCTAAGAGGAGAGACGTGAGAAGACGTCAGGGAAGAAGCGCGTGCTCCCTGTATGTGTAACTAATTGACAAGGAAAGGTGACAAAATTATCGTGCTTGGGAAATTAACTGAATATGCTTTCAGGTAGAGAAAACCAATGCCTTCTTATGTGTTCTTTCTTTAACAGTCCTGAGTTACGAGGAAAATCAGGAGGTCTAGAAGAAAACTCTTACCTGGAAGAGAAGTGAAGTGCTCGCATGGCACATTCCACTACCTGATACGGCTCATTCTTTATTCGCCAGTAAAATGAAGCCATATTATACAGTACCCAAGAGGAAGAATTCTAGAGATTAAACAAATAAAGTGATTATCAAACACAACAATGTTCAAAATGAGCACCATTAATACTCTTCTGAATACTTTCTGAATACTCTTCATGAATACTTTCTTCTGAAATTCAAGATAAGGAAGATCAAGCCTAGCTGTATAACAATGCAAAGGACAAAGTCCAGATGCACCACATCTGTCAAAAGGGTCCCCCAGCCATCAGCTGGGCAAGTGCATTAAGTGTAATCCTCACACAGAGATGACACACCTCCAGGCTGTCATTCCAAGGTGGAAACCAGGCTGAAAAGCCCACCAGGAGGCCACAACATAACTTCCTGGGCCCTATTCAGGACTTCAAAAGTTTAGAGCTGACATACTGAGAAATGCCAGGGGCTCTAACACAACATTCCTGACACTAACATTTTATAAGTTTTTTTTCTTCATGTAATATTTGAGTGAAGGTACAAACTTAAGGCAACGAAAGGATTACTTCTGTAAAATATGAATTTTTTTTCATTTTTCTCATGTGTTTAGAATTGAAAGCATACCTTCAAGCTGTTAAAAATTAAATCTTTAGAATATAGTAATTACATGTATTATATAGTCAAAGAGAAGTTCAGATGGACCTGCTGTTTTTGTGATTAGGACTTTCTGTCTTCTAACATATACTGAATTGCAAAAGTGGGCTATGTTAAAACTCAATGTAAGTAAACTGAAACCCATATAAAGCTTTAAACTTTTGCTGGGGAAAAATTATAAACTGGGGAAAATACTGGCAGTTTATATGATAGTCAAGGCTTACTATTTGTATCTTTAATATATAAAGAGCTTATAAAAAATCTAAACCTAAACATGAAAAATATTTCTTAAAAAGAGAAATGGCCAAAAACCATGAACAGCAATTCAAAGAAATAAAAAAAAACTAATAAGCATGTGAAATGAATAACTTCACAAAAAAGAGACAAGAAGCTTTCCTTTTACAAATTGGCATCTATTAAACTATTAAAAAGAATATGCACTGTTTAACTTCATAAATTGACTGTAGAAACACTAAGTCACTACGGCAGTTTCCAGGGGACAATCTGATACCACATATGTAAAACACCTTAAAACGGGATTACCCCTTGACTCCTACAACACCATTATCCACAGTGTGCTTGATGAGTATAATTAAGGTTTCACTACAAAGATGTGTAAAAATAAAAATCCAAAGGAATATACAAACCTATTTTCAAGTTATAACTTTTACCTTATCTTTTACAGTTTCTATAAAGTCTTATTTTTTTTTTGCAACCAATTATTTTATTTTAAAAATAGCTAAATCGAGGGGCCGGTATTGTGGCATAGCGGGTTAAGCCTCCGCCTGTGACCCTGGCATCCGATACGTGCTCTGGCTGAAGACCCTGCTGCTCCATTTCTGATCCAGCACCCAGCTAACGTGCCTGGGAAAGCACTGGAAGATGGCCCAAGTACTTGGGCTCCTGCACACATGTGGGAGACCAGGAGGAAGCTCTTGGCTCTGGGCTCCTGGGTTCGGCCTGGCCCAGCCCTGGATGTTGCAGCAATTGGGGAGTGAACCCGTGGATGAAAGACCTCTCTCTCTCTCTCTCTCTCTCTGTGTGTCTCTACTCCTCTCTTTGTAACTCTACCTTTCAAATAAATAAAATAAATCTTTTTAAAAAAAGCTAAACTGAATTAAAAGTTTTATAAAACATTTTTAAAATCATTGTTTTAAGGATTAAAATATTAAGTACATCTTGTATTATTCATCCTTGAGTATTCTATCTTCAAAGAAAGCATGACTGTGTGATGCAATTAAAGATTTTAACACAATAAGCAGACCAGCTATAAACTCTGACTACTTGAAGGTGGTCAAGGGACAGCACCTTCTTACATGACTTGGGACTAAAGTTTCAGTCTTCTTTTTGACAGCTTTTTTTGAGAAAGCTTTTATTTATTTTTTTTAAAGGTTTTATTTATTTGCTTGAAAGGCAGAGTTACAGAGAAGAAGAGGCAGAGAGCAAGGTCTTCCATCTGCTGGTTCACTTCCCACATGGCTGCAATGGCTGGAGTTGTGCCAATCTAAAGCCTGGAACGAGGAGCCTCTTCCATGTCTCCCATGTGGGTTCAGGGGCCCAAAGACTTGAGCCATCTTCTACTGCTTTCCCAGGCCATAGCAAAGAGCTGGATTGAAAGTGGAGCAGCCAGGTCTTGAACTGGTGCCCATATGTGATGCCAGCACCACAGGCGGCGGCTTTACCCACTACGCCACAGCGCCTGCCCCAGAGAAAGCTTTTTTTTCCAAATCAACAAATGTTTTATTTTCCCTTATTTTCAGACTATGTTGTGAATTAGAACAAGAAGTTCAGTTAAAAATTTGATATGAAGGTTATGGTAAGCAGAATACTCTACATATTATAGCATATTAGGCCTAAGAGGAGGAACATCTATATTTATTTTCATTTTACGTGAAAGACATAGACACACAGCCAGAGACAGAGAAAGACCTTCCATGTGATGGTTCATTCCTCAAATGCCTGTAATTCTCAGGCCTGGGCCAAGCTGAAGCAGGAGCTTGGAACTCAATCCACGACTCTCAAGTCAATAACGAGGATTCGAGTACATGGGCCGTTACTTGCTACCTCCCAGCAGGCACATTAGCAGGTGGCTGGAATCAGAAACAGCTGGGACCTGATGCCAGGCATGCTGATGTGTGATGCGTGCGTCCCAGCAGGGATCCTAACTGCTATGACAAATGCTGGCTCCTAAAAATATATATTCAAAGAAAAATCTTTCTGTGAAATTTCTCATAAAATCTCCCCCAAATCTATAATACTCCGAAGTTATTATTACTTATTCTTTCCCCTGAACACACTTTTTTCCTTGGCTCCTGGGGTACTGCACTCTTTAGGACACCTTTCCCACTCTCTTTTGGTGGCACCTGCCCCCATCTGATAGGTATATACAGGACTGCAGGATTTAGACTGACTTCTTCCCAAACTTTACCTTCTCCCACATGCCTTTATCCTGCCCCATGGCTTCTGATAATCCCTACTTAACAACTATTCTCTATCATGCACTCAAGCCTCATCCCCTGGAGTTCCTGACTCATATAATAGATATTTCCAATTAACATGGCCAAAACAGAGCTGTCTTTTCTTCTCTCCCACCCCAAACCTGCTGTTCTTTCAAGCTGCCCAAATTGAAAGTTTGGGAGTTGTCCCTGGTTTGTGTTTTGCTCTCATTCCCTACATCTAAGTCATCAGTTTCTCAATTTGTAAACACATTCTGAAATAGTCCCTCTGTTTCCACTGTCAAGTATCAGTAGTGCAAACTGTGTTCATCTCTCCCTTCTAACTGGTCCATTTCCAGCTGTGGCCCCCTTCAGTCACTTCTCCATACAGTGATCACAGTGAGCTTTTTAAAATATTGACTGAATTACATCACTCCTCTGTTCAGTTGAATCCCAAGTCTTTTTACCGTGACTTTCGGAGCCCTGCAATGACCTGGCTCTGTCCTATTTCTCTAGCTACATTCCTTACCATCTTTCCTCTTACTCATCACACTCCACTTACACTAGACTGAATCTGATTACAAGCCACCAGTTATGGACTGAAGGTCTGTGTACCCCCATATCCAAAGTACACATGGGTCTGTGAAGAGGACATAAAGGTTGACCTTATAAGGAGCAGCAGCAGCAGCAGAAACATCTCTCATTTGCTCTTCAATGTGTGCATACAGAATAAGCCATGTGAGCCCACAGAGTGAAGGCGGCCAGCTGTCTACAAGCTACAAAGAGGGCCCTCACCAGGAACTAAATTATGAGTGCCTAGATCTTAGACTTCCCATCCTCCATAACTGTGGCAAACATATTTATGTCCTTCAAGCCACCCAGTCTGTGGGTTGGATAAATACATATTTGGCTTTTCTCCCAGGTTCCTGCACACAGCTCCTAAAACTCATAGAATCAGAAAAGTGATGAGTATTTTTGTATGTTCATGAGAAGACTAGAGAACTGGGGGCACCCAGACAACTTTAGGATAGATGCTGCTTCCAGAATAACCAAGCCACGATTACAGGGTTGGAACTTTCCCCCTCTGGGGAGCAGAGTAGGGTGGAGACTGAACTAATCACTAATGGCCGGTGATTCCAGGTGGTGGAATCTGCATAAACCCCCCTATCTGACAGAGTCTGGGGAGTTTCCAAACTGGAAAACACAGCCAGGTGCTGGGAAGCGATGTGCCTGGGGAGGAGAGGGATGACCTGTGCATCTCTTGCCTTCAACTGCTCCAGAACTGTACCTTTCATAATAAACTGATAACAGTAAGTAAAGTGCTTTCCTGAGTTCCATGAGCTGTTCTAACAATGATTAAACCTAAGGAGTGGGGCACGGGAACTGCTCCGACTTTATGGCCGGTTGGTCAGAAGTCTAGACGGCCTTGACTTTGCAACTGGCATTGGAAGTGGGGCCATTGTGTGAGACTGAATTACTATCCTGTGGGATATGTACTAACTCCAGTGTTTGAAGAGAACTGAATTGTAGAGCACCCAGTTGGTGTCTGGGGAGCTGGAGAATTGGTTGGTGTGAAGAAAGAAACCTCACACACCTGGGTCAAACATGTTGTAAAGTAGAATTGACTTAGAGTGGTATTTTGTTAACAGCCTAGACAGATTAAGATGTGACCCAAGTTCATTCAGGCAACAGGGACTTCCCTGGCTCAGAACACACTTGTCTGATCTTTGTGGCTTGGTTCTTGTTATTCAGACGTCAAGTTCAATTTCACCTTTCCAGAGAGGATAACCCCAACTGCTCAATCTAAAGTAGCCACCAGTAGCGCTCTGTTTTAATTTTCTATAGAACACTTACCACTATTATCTACTCTCAACTAACCATCCTCTGCAGGATACCGTACAATCTTGGGACAGTTTTCCCTTATTACTCACCAAGTTCTGGGAATGCAAATGTTTTATATTACCTTTGGAAAAACAAGATGAAGATGAAAACTTAGCTACAAAAATCATCATAAAATACTTTTGAAAGTCAAACTACTTTCTTACTCTTATTCAAAAATTCCTCTCTTGATATACAGAGATGTTGTAATTAGGCATTTTATTTAATATCACTATAATTAATACTGTTTAGAAACTAACCTGCATTTTATGATACTCCTTATGCACACAGAAGAGCAAAAACCATTTTCTAAATTCCCATGTTATCCTGAATGATATATTTAAATTCTTGGGTCCTGTTACAGAATTCCCTATTTCATCTTTTTAAAGTAGATGTTTCCTTAAAAGAAAATTATAGAAGATTTTATTGCTATTGGTAATATTTTGGTTCAGATAACAGTGAAATTTGTATTATGTGTAGATATATCAAAGACACTAAAATGTTAACTCTTCTTCTACACTCAACATATATAATCTAGCCTATAAGCCCTGCTGCTTTTATCAGTTTATAATTTGTTTTTTCATTAGTTAGTTAAAACAAAACTTTCAAACCTCACTCCTTGGCAAAGGAGATTATCTATCTGTGTTTCTCTCTAGCACTGAATTATAGTGTTTATAGCAATGCAATCATAATTTTGAATCATACTCTAGAATTAGGCAGGTGTTTCTGAGAGGAAATTATTTTCTGCTTATATGGCCTCTTGGTTCTTTAAGCCACTGATGACTCACCTTCTGTAAACCTTCATGAATGAGGTGACCAATGTCATCTATATTCCTTCCCAATCGCTTAGATAAATATGTGAAGACAGGATCGTCCTTAGGCAACAGAGGTGCAGAAAGATTAACTCTTTCTTGCACACCCTAAAAGGAAGAAGAAAAAAAAACTGAAAAAAAAAAATAGTGAAAGACCACAACTAATTTGGGGTCTTGAAACATTTATTTTGAAGGCATTTTTATGTCTGTGACAATGTAAAGCTGTTTTGAAGCAGAGAAGAAAAACAGTTTTCATAAACAAGAGACCAAATGAAAGAAAAAAGAAAAAAACTCTCAAGTTCTCTACTTACCCGTAAATGCTGAAAAGCATGTATACTATAAGGAAGTTCGAGAATTTTAGTACAATCAGGTTGCTCAGGGTCTGGAGGGACAGGAGATTCTGTGTCTATATAATCTTCAGGGCTAAAATCAAGAAGCAAGGAGCAATGAAGAATGCAAGGTGAGGCGACACAATGCTTTAGGAAATGTCAATATTCCCCATATTCTTATAGAATCTCCATTTTATAACTAGGGTTGGTCAACATTCATACCTTTTCACACAGCTGTAATGAGGAGTCAATATTTTGGAAATTCAAATTATAGAGAAGTCAAGAATTAGAGAGAGAATACAGTAGTAGTTTACAGAAGGTTAAGATTCTGGACTTTCAAAAAACTAACATGCATACAGCATGACACTGCTAAGTGCTTTCCTGAATGCTAAGCCAACGTACACTTCCATTCACGGACTCTCTGCCTGACTTCCAGTCACTGCCTTAAGGCTTCTTTCCAAGTTGGTGGATGAAAACCATCTATATGTTTTAAGTTGCACTTATCTGACCACCTCTGAGAAACATTGGTCATTTTTTAAAGTATCAATTGTTCAATTTTATACTGTGGTATTAAGTATGTTCATGTATTTTAAGCTTTCAAATTCCAATCAGCATACATGGTTGAAGATCTCATGACAGATTGTTTCCCACTGACTTTGGAAAGGCCTGTTTCAGAGAAGCACCTCCTGGTGGAAAGTGAGACTCTTTACCTGATGTCTTTGCTCTCTAACGTTATGTATGTGCCATCGTACAGATCCAGGTCCCCGAGGGGCACCTTGGCTTTGATGCAGTCTGGATCTTCTTTGTTATGTCTCTGTTCCAGTCCCGTGTCTCTGTCCTCATTTTCTTCTATGTGAATTTTTTGAGCAACTAATTGTTTCTGTTGAGAAGAAAATAAGAACAAAATGCCTCTTGAAATACTTCGGGCTAAGTATGAGTGAAGTGAAAGGAGAATTTTATGACCGCTGAAGTCAGAGAATCCTCTATGAAGGAACACAAGGACTCTGAAAATGTTCTGAAGGTTCTCTACAAAGGTGTTCACACACAGAAAGTAACAAAACACAGCACTTGGAATATCAGCATACAGGTATAGCTGTAATAGGGTTTCTGACTATGTTTAAAGTCTGCCTACCAATTTGACTTCTCTGGCACAGAATGACTGTGCAATTAAGACACCCCGGGGAAGGGCAGTTAAGATGCTTCTTGGGATGCCCCATCTCATCTCAGAGTGCTTAGGATTGAGTCCCAGCACCTCTCCCAACTGCGGTTTCCTGGTAATGTGCACCACGGGAGTCAGTGTATAATGGCTCAAGTAGTTGGGTCCCTGACACCCATATGGGAGACAGGGACTGAGTTCCTGGCATCTGGCTTCAGACTGGCTCAGATAGCGGATTTCTATCCCAAAGAAACAGTAACAGAGGGGCCCATGCTGCAGCGCAGTGGGTTAAAGCCCCAGCCTGCAGTGCCGGCATCTCATATGGAAGCCGGCTCGTGTCCCGGCTGCTCCACTTCCCATCCAGCTCTCTGCTATGGCCTGGAAAAGCAGCAGCAGATGGCCCAAGTCCTTGGGCCCCTGCACCTGCCTGGGAGACCTGGAAGAAGCTCCTTTGGATCAGCTCAGCTCTGGCCGTTGCGGTCATTTGGGGAGTGAACCAGCAGAATGGAAGGTCTATCTCTGCACCTCTGTATTTCAAATAAATAAAATAATTCTTAAAAAAAAAACAGTAACAAATAGGGGGTTTCTCTTCCAAAAAAATACTTTTTAAAAATATTTTAAAACAAGGGGCCGGCGTGGTAGTGCAGCAGGTTAAAGCCCTGACCTAAAGCACCCGCATCCCATATGGGTGCTCATTCTAGTCCTGGCTGCTCCTCTTCCGATCTAGCTTTCTGTTATGGGCTGGGAAAGCAGTGGAGGATGCCCCAAGTCCTTGGGCCCCTGCACCCACATGGGAGACCTGGAAGAAGCTCCTGGCTCCTGGCTTCGTATCGGTGTAGCTCTGGCCATTGCGGCCACCTGGGGAGTGAACCAGTGGATGGAAGACCTCTCTCTCTTGTCTCTACCTCTCTCTGTAACTCTGACTTTCAAATAAATAAAATAAATAAATAAACAATAAAATTTAAAAAAAGTATTTTAAAACAAAATAGAAAACGTCCTGGTGTGGGGAGCAACCCAGACTGGACTGAGTTACTGGAATTAAGACTTATTCTATGCATCTGCTCTCCCACAATATGGCGCTGGGAGAGGAGAAAACAGCTTCTACGCAGCTGCCTCTTGCCAACTTGAGTGATGACCTCCAGGAGCTGATCCTGCTCCTGATTGGAGAGCAGCGTACTCGGCGTGTGGGTAGCCGAGTTAGGATTGGTGGAGGAGGACTATAAAGGAGGAGAGAGACGGCATGCACCAGGAACATCTAAGGGGAACATCTATCTGAAGGAACACCTGTGCAGCCCCCGAGAGAGCCGGCCGGCGGTGTGCCGCTCCCCTGCGGAAGTGGGGAAAGTGGCCAGGGGGAACCGCCCTTCCACGGAGGTGGAAGGGATGGTAGCCAACCCGGGAAGGACCAGCAGCAAACCCGGGGAGGGCCGAGCAGATGAAAGAACAGCGCAGGGTCCTGTGTCGTTCCTCCACGAAAAGCGGGAGCGACACCTGGAATAGTCCAAATCCATCAGGTTGTTTCAGTCCTTTCAGATACACAGCACGTTACTACTGCTACTTGGGTGTTCCAGGTGAATTTCTGACACATGTGAAATACAGAGGAATAATATAAACATTCATGTTCCTATTATCTATATCTCTCATATGCTATATTTTACTATACTTGGTTCAGACTTTTTTTTTTTTAATACAAGGACAAAAACAAGAAATTGAAGCTTCTGTTTACTGGCTTTTACATTCTTCTCTCTCTTGGAGCTGGCGCTGTGGCACAGCAGGTTAGCGCCCTGGCCTGAAGCGCCGGCATCCCATATGGGCGCCGGTTCAAGACCTGGCTGCTTCACTTCTGATCCAGCTCTCTGCTATGGCCTGGGAATACAGTAGATGATGGCCCAAGTCTTTAGGCCCCTGCACCTATGTGGGAGACTGGGAAGAAGCTCCTGGCTTCGGATCGGCACAGCTCTGGCCATTGTGGCCATTTGGGAGTGAACCAACGAATGGAAGACCTCTGCTTCTCCTCTCTCTCTGTGTAACTCTGACTTTCAAATAAATAAATAAATCTTTTAAAAAAAATTCTTCTCTCCCTTCAGAAAGTCACCACTACCCTGAATTTGTTTTAGGAATCATTTCCATGTATATTTCTACAAAATGTTACTGTAACACCTTACTCCCTTAAAATATTACTTTCATTATTATACATGAATCTAAAATTAACATATAGCATTGCTTTCCAAGTTTTAAAACTTTACATAAATGATATATCACATCAGCTTACAGGTTTCTTTTTTTTTTTTTTTTTGACAGGCAGAGTGGATAGTGAGAGAGAGAGAGACAGAGAGAAAGGTCTTCCTTTTTGCCGTTGGTTCACCCTCCAATGGCCGCCACGGCTGGTGCGCTGCAGCCGGCGCACCGCGCTGATCCGAAGCCAGGAGCCAGGTGCTTCTCCTGGGGTGCAGGGCCCAATGCTTGGGCCATCCTCCACTGCCTTCCCGGGCCACAACAGAGAGCTGGCCTGGAAGAGGGGCAACTGGGAAAGAATCTGGCGCCCCGATCAGGACTGGAACCCAGTGTGCTGGCGCCGCTAGGTGGAGGATTAGCCTATTGAGCCGCGGTGCCGGCCAGCTTACAGGTTTCTAATTTTCAAATTTCCTATGTTTTTTTTTTTTTTTTTTTGACAGGCAGAGTTAGACAGTGAGAGAGACAGAGAGAAAGGTTTTCCTTCCGTTGGTTCATTCCCCAAATGGCCGCCACAGCCGGCACTGTGCCAATCCAAAGCCAGGAGCCAGGTGCTGGTTGTTTTTCCCAGAGTTTCCATCTGCATCAGAGAATCACACTGAGATTCTGGAGCTATTTGCTGCCAATGCATACATCATCTAATAAATTCTAACAAAATCTAGAGTATCTCAACTAATGCGATCATTAATGAGATTGAACATATTTTTGCATGTTTATGATACTTTATGGACTGTTCAAGTCTGCCCATTTTTCCCCCGTAGGGTTTTTAAAAAGTTCTTTGCAGAAATTTATGAAAAGAGTAATTCTGTGAACTCATCTTCTATTAGTTTTATGTATTCCAAGTATCTCCTTTCAGCATGTAATGTATCTCCTAGTGTTATGTGCTGAAGGGAAGCTTTAATTTTTAAGATGATTGACTTATAGCCTTTATCCTCTTAGTGTAAATATTCATACATTTCACCAAAGAAATATTAATGTATCTGATTATGGAGTTTGGAGCCAGACCTTGTTCCAAATAGCATGTAATATATGTATGCCTAGAACATCTCTGAAATTAAAAACCAAAAACAAACTATATTCCTAAACACAAACAATCCCAAAGGTTTCAGGTGAGTGATTGGCAACTTGTATAAACACTGTCATATCAGCTTTCTTTTGCTTACCATTACCATAGTAAACACTTTTTCCATCCACTTATCATCTCACTAATTTTGTGTTAGTCTTATTTGTACAATACAGCTGGACCAAATAAGATATATATTATGATAATATGAGTTTTAATTAGCGAGTATAATCTGCATTTATTGTGGCTGCTAGTTTTTTTGGATTTATTTCAACCATTTCATGTTCATCATTCTTTTGCTTTGCCTTTTTTTTTTCTATTTTCTGTCTTATATCTGCAGTTAATACTTCCTATATTCTCTCCCCTCCCCTCTATAGCCTCTCATTATTCGCAGGTTTAGAAACTATAAATTGCATTTCTATGACTGTAGTGCTTGCCCTTACTATTTTTCTCATTTTTTATCAGTAAATACTTCAGTATATTTTTGAAAGAAAAGATCTAAAATATAAAACTGCCACACCATCATCACATGTAAAAGTAGTAATTATGCAATATCAAACTCCCAATTGTTTATCCCCTCTTTTTAAAAAAGTTTGTTTGCTTGGATCAGAATCCATGAGGTCCACATATATTACAACTGATTAATTTGTTTCTTGGGTTTAATTTACTGGTTGTACCTCTATTTCCTTTGCTTAAATCCTCTTGTAATTTCCTTGCAAATTTGGGTTGTTTGTCCTGTAGAGTTCACCACTCTAGGAATTTGCTGATTGTACCTCCAAGTCCATTTCTTCTGTCCTCTATATCTTCTGAATAATGGCTGCAGGATCTGCAGTAATGACTTTTTTTGTGTGTCTCTGACAATCTTTGTTGGACTCTGACAGTCTAATGGAAGACTACAGACATCTTAGAATAATCTTTAAAATATTTAAAAGATGTAGAATGCCAAAGAGAACCAATTACACTGGAAAACATTATATTGTAGTTTGATTAGAAAGATTCCTTGTGGGGAAGAAAAGGTACTCAAAAAGTGACAATATTTTATTCTCTCTTTTGAAAAATTGCTGGCTCACTTTGTGTATATGTGTGTGTGTGTTTTAAGATTTTTATTTATTTGTATGAGAGGTAGAGTTACAGACAAAGAGAGAAACAGAGAGAAAGTTCTTCCACTTGCTGGTTTACTCTCCAAATAACCGCAATGGCTGGAGTTGGGCCAATCTGAAGCCAGGAGCCAGGAGCTTCTTTCTGGTCCACCACGCGGGTGCAGAGGCCCATCTTCTACTGCTTTTCTAGGCCACAGCAGAGAGCTGGATTGGAAGAGAAGCAGCCAGGATACGAATAGGCACCCATATGGGATGCTGGCGCCACAATTGGAGATTTAGCCCACCATGCCACAGCTCTGGCCTCAACTTTTTGTGCTTTAACACTTCAACTTTCAAGAGTATAATTAACCCAGTGAGGATGTTAAGGGGTATTTTCCAACACTTCTCATGTAAACTCAAATTTTAGGTTACTCCTTGGAGTAGTAACACAGGCTAATGAAAAGGCTATTCCTGAGTCGCAAAAGTGTTCTTGATGCTTTTTCTATGTTTGCCAGCAAATTTTCCCACACCATTTAAATTCATTTAGTTACTTTATCTTTTTTGGAATATAAAAAAGAATCTAACAAGCTTTAACTAATAACTGAGCCCTAACCAACCATATAGTGTTGATTTTACCTAGTAATGTCCTTTATAGCATTACTTTCCAATTCCAATTGGAAAGATTCCAGTCTGAATTTCCAAAGTCAACATTATGTATGTTACCTTTTTCTTGCAGAAATAAATTTTTTTTTTTTTTTTGACAGGCAGAGTGGACAGTGAGAGAGACAGAGAGAAAGGTCTTCCTTTGCCGTTGGTTCACCCTCCAATGGCTGCCACTGCCAGCATGCTGCGGCCGGCGCATCGCGCTGATCCGATGGCAGGAGTCAGGTGCTTCTCCTGGTCTCCCATGGGGTGCAGGGCCCAAGCACTTGGGCCATCCTCCACTGCACTCGCTGGCCACAGCAGAGAGCTGGCCTGGAAGAGGGGCAACCGGGACAGAATCCGGCGCCCCTACCGGGACTAGAACCCGGTGTGCCGGCGCCGCAAGGCGGAGGATTAGCCTAGTGAGCCACGGCACCAGCAGAAATACATCTTTAATGTTTTCTTTTTTTTCAAGTGAACATTTGTGTTCAATAAACTCTGTCTTTGTAGGTCAGAAAACATCTTTACTTGTCATTCTTCAATGACAGTTTAAAAGAATGTGAAATTCCAGTTTGATTTTTCCTTAGAACTCTGAAGCTATCTTCCATAGTTTTCTGGTGTCTAAGAAGTCCACACACTGTCACTACTTGGTAGATAAATTGCTTATATAGTCTCATGGTTTTAAGTCTATCTGTCAGTGACTTAACAAATTTAGGACCTCACCCATGTCAGCGCTTGAAGAACAAGCCCTCTACTTCCTATCTATAGTTGGGTGTGTAAAGGGCATCTCAAACTTAACATGCCAAAGTCAAGCTCCTCCCAATCCTGTGCCTCCCTCAGTCTTCTCTACAGAGCTGATGTTAACTTCATCCTTGGAACTGCTCCACTCAAAAGCCCTGCAGTATGCTTTCAGCACTTCTTTCTCTGCCTCTCTTTCTAACAACTCCAACACTATGTCCTGTCTCAAGTATGTTTGTGGACATTTCTAGGTTCTATTCCATTCCCAAGTCCCAAAATTTTGCAGTTTTGGAGTTCTTACCCCCAAAGTAATACTGTACTCTGAAATAATATTTGGGAAATACAGGATGCAATAACTGAATTGTTGGGTGATTCAGTTCCTCTTTTATCTGCCGATATTTTGTCCAGACTCGATGGCTCTCCCCTGTCTTTAAGCAGTAAGTAATCCTGGTTCTGCTCTTTCTTCATGAAGGGAAATGTCAGTGTCCTAACTCCACAGAGAACTAGCAGATATCAATGATGGTTCCTGGCCTTGGAAACAGCAGGTCGGTAGCTTCAGCCATGCTCCCAATTTAGTGTTTCTGTTCATTTCTGGTTCATAAAGATTCTTATATTGACTTTTAGTCTGGCTACATTTTATTTTATTGCATCGTATATGTATTTTACTTGTCATTGCTGTGTACATGAAGTAGCAGGAGTACATCAAAGTTAAACTCTTATACTATCTTAGCCAAAAATTGGCTACATCAGTATTTTTCATTTGCATCTGCACTGATTAAGTTATGGCAGTTTCCCACTACATGTGCTCTAATTTAAATCTCCTTCTCATTATATTATATTATATTATATTACCTCCTAAAACAGAGAATGCAATAAACATACACAGAGTCTATGCATCTGAAAATAAAAACTATTTTCTATACCACTACATCTTTCTGAACACTGTTTAAATAAAAAACAGATCATACTTCCAAGCATGAATATAAATATGCTTTTTGTTTATTAACAATAATTGCCATTTTTTAATTTAGAAATAATAAAAACAGTAAGAACCTGATGAGAAGCTATTTTTAAAATGCTAAGGTGTTTTACCTCTATACATATTCTAAAAATACGTACCTATTTGGAGCTGGTTAACATATGCTAAAAGCTCCTCTCTCTGAATTCACAAAAGCTTAAAAAATATGTATTTATAACTATTAGTATATATATATACACAAATGTATACACATATAAATACACATATATATTATATATACATAAATATGTAAATATACCAGCCTACATTTATGGAAGTGAAATATGGACTTTCACATTACTAGAAAATTAACGCTGACCTTTTTAACAGGTATGCCAGCTTTCAAGGCAATACACATGGGCTTTGCTTCTGGCTCTATCATATCTTGCTCTCCAAACTTAGAAAAATCACTGTCTTTGGGTCTAATTGTTTTCTTACCTCTAAAATGAGGAAGGAATTGGATTCCTTCCAGCTCTCAAGCATGCTGATTTTACTATTAGTACTCACTGTTCTCAACAGTTTGCTAACTTTGATTTTGCAATTTAGTTTTCTTGTTCTATAACTTAGACCTTGAAATTTGGATTCAATTAACATTATAACTTTTAAGCAGTTTTATGAGGAAAATACTAGTTTTTCAAATCACCAATACTGCTTGCTATTAAACAAAATCACTTTATCAAAATCAGTGATAGAAAAAGGTAAAAACTTATGCTTAATTTGTTTATTAAACAAAGAAAGTTTAGGCCGGCACCATGCTCACTAGGCTAATCCTCCACCTGCGGTGCCAGCACTCCGGGTTCTAGTCCCGGTTGGGGCACCGGTTCTGTTCTGGTGAGGTTGCTCCTCTTCCAGTCCAACTCTTTGCTGTGGCCCGGGAAGGCAGTGGAGGATGGCCCAAGTGCTTGGGCCCTGCACCCGCATGGGAGACCAGGAGGAAGTGCCTGGCTCCTGGCTTGGGATTGGCGCAGCATGCCCATTTCGGGGGTGAACCAATGGAAAAAAAGGAAGATCTTTCTCTCTCTGTCTCTCTCTAACTCTGCCTGTCAAAAAAAAAAAAAAAAAAAAAAAAAAAGAAAGTTTCAGGCTTTCAAGATATGAAGTGATTAACACTTCTCACATCAACCATAAGAACGCAACAACAAGACTATAGTTTTTACTCCTTGAGAATGACCAAAAATTACATTTTTTTAGACCACCAAGACCTTTCTTTCTTTTCACACTTTACTCAGACTCTTCTAAGAATATCCCGAGATTACACACACTGGATACTTGATGGAAAAACTAAAACACAGAAACTCTGTTCAAGGATAAGCAAGTCAACAGTCAGACACAAATTCAGATTAGGACAGTCTATTTCTCTTACTATTGCTTAAATATCATTTTGGTAAGATGATTTAAAAGACAAATGACATACTAAAGGTAGTTATGTTTCTGCAAAAGTCAGAAGAATCAGGCTTAAGAAATATGATTTAGCTTTTCTTTGTACACAATAGCTCTGGCAAAATCCACTAAGTTTCAGCTTGATATTGCAGAGGAACATGTCTCACCTCCAATTCTTTGAGGTAGTTTACTGTTGTTTCTTGTCTCATTAATATGACTAAGTCATGGGGATGCTTCAAGTTCATTGGTGAATCTACCTGCAAGCAAGTAAGCAAAAATAAGTAATAAATAAAGAGAGAAATAAAAAGATTTCATTACTGTCAGTTTGGATTAATAAATTCTTCATTATGCTTCAAAGTATTATCTAGTCATCATTATAATCAGTGCAAATACTCAATAAAACTCAAAAGTCATCCCAGTTAAACTGTAGCATAGATGACAGAGAATGACAGAGTCAACAGCTGTCTGATAAAATCCAAATCTGAAGTAAATACTCTGATTTGACAGGTCATATAATAAATATTCAAAAAAAAGAAATATTACAAGGAATGAAGAATTAACTTCCTTAAGAGATGTGACTGTAATAATAGAAATATGATTGTCTTGTTCTGACAGCACAATCCATACCTGAAACGTTTGGAAGCATTAACAGAAAAATATGCCACAGCACCTATTATTGAAGGCTATTTGTACGAGTCATAAATCAAAGATAATATAAAGTAATCCTGATATATTATTTACAGCTCATGTTCTCTGGAATAATAGATCAAGAGACTATATTGCTGCAGATGTAGAGAAAATGAACCCTCATATAATTGTAACAGGCTTGTAAATTTGTTTTCATTGTTTGGAGGGTCAGCTGACAACATACATCAAAATGTTGGAAATACATATTCTTGATTTGGCAAAACAAACTCTAGGAAATGATCCTACTCACATTCCTAAACAAGTAGACAAAGTTATATGTAAGGATGCTCACTACAACACTTTTAAATGCATCAAATATTAGAAAGAACACAAGTCCACAATAAAGGAGTGGAGAGACCCACTGTCTAATGCAATGGGATAAAGTAGAAAATGTAACAGCCATAGTCAGCTGTCAGAATATATAAGCTTTACATAAGGAAGCCCAAGAAGCCCCAGACCATAAGAGGTAATGAATTCGTACATGACTCTTTCAAATACCTTTAAACCAGGTTTTTGGAAAAAAAAAATGGGGAGCAGAGTGGAAGAGAGGGGAAGAAAATAATGTGAGAGTATGGCATTCCCATTCTAATCTAATGAATTTGTTTTCCTGATATTTGGCAAATTGCAAAAATAATGAAAGGAGACACATAAAGATTTACATTAGAGAAATATCTCAAGTATAATCTTAGTTTTAGATTAAAAAATTACAAGGTAACCAGAGTTTTGACATTTTTGGATAAGACAGGTTTGCCAACATTCAACTGTAAAGAGATACTTTCCACTTCCTTAAAGCTTTTAGTTCACTAAAGATACATCAGCTGGATGAGGTACAAAGATAAAATTATTAGCAGAAGAAAGGGAGTCTACTAGCAGCTGTGTTTCCCTTTTTGAAGTGATAGCAATGGCATGGACCTATGCCAGATAAAAGCTGGTTGCAGAAAATTTATAGCTTGACAAATATTTTTACTGAGGTATCTTCAAGTTCTTGAAATTTCAGATTTTATAATCATTGGTAAATGTCAACTTGAATTTATCTCCTTTTGAATACCTTTCCTTATATCAAAATTAATAAACAGGGTATGTTTTACAACTTTGTAAGTATTATAGTATGCATTTAACTAGTGAAGGTTTATGAAGCTTCTAAAAGCCAGGCATATCATGGGGTGAAGGTTAATGTGAAGCCTACACACTACAATACATATGCAATATGTAAAGGAATTGTAATTTTTTTAATTGAATGTTTTTTTTATTTATTTTTTAAGGAATACAAATCTCATAAGTACAACTTTAAGAATAGTTATTCTTCCCACCATACCCACCTTACCACCCATAATCCCACTCACCTCCTGCTCCCTCTCCCCTTCCCAGTCCCATTCTCCATTAAGATTCATTTCCAATTAACTTTATACACAGAAGACCAACTCTATACTAAGTAAAGATTTCAACAATTTGCACACACACACAAAACTGTTTTAGAACTGCTTTACAGTTAATTCTCATAATACAACCTCATTGAGAGTGAGTAGTGCACAGTGACTCCTGTTGTTAATTCAACAATTACCACTCTTATGCATGACATCAGTGACCACCCGAGGCTCTTGACATGAGCTGCCTGGGCTATGGAAGCTTTTTTTTTTTTTTTTTTTTTTGACAGGCAGAGTGGACAGTGAGAGAGAGAGAGACAGAGAAAAAGGTCTTCCTTTTACCACTGGTTCACCTTCCAATGGCCGCTGTGGCCGGCGCACTGTGCTGATCCAAAGCCAGGAGTCAGGTGCTTCTCCTGGTCTCCCATGGGGTGCAGGGCCCAAGCACTTGGGCCATCCTCCACTGCACTCCCAGGCCACAGCAGAGAGCTGGACTGGAAGAGGAGCAACAGGGACAGAATCCGGCACCCCGACCAGGACTAGAACCCGGTGTGCCGGCGCTGCAAGCAAAGGATTAGCCTATTGAGCTGAGGTGCCAGCTGGAAGCCTTTTGAGTACACAAACTCCGTCAGTATTTGGACAAGGCCATAAGCAAAATGGAAGTTCTCTCCTCTCTTTAGAGAAAAGTACACCCTTCTTTGATGGTCACTTCTTTCCACTGGGGTCTCACTCACAGAGATCCTTCATGTAGGACATTTTTTGCCACAGTGTCTTGACATTCCATGCCTGAAATGCTCTGATGGTCTACAAAAGCAAGTTTGAGTCAATCACTTTTCAATGGCCCTTTGTGACAAGAAATTGAACACTTCCAATATTAATTCAATCCTATATATGCAACTTATTCTCCAAATACAAAAAACTTTTGTACCTTTAAAAAAATAGTCATCCAAACGCATAAAAGCAACATGAGAAATTACACCCTTCTGCCAACAACAGTTTGAAATTGATGAATGAAGTATTTCATTATGGGGCTAGTGTTAAGCTGATGACTCAAACAGCAGTATCCCATATGAGTGCTTGTTCAAGTCCCTGCTGCTTCACTTCCTGTCTCCAGCTCCCAGCTAAGGCACCTAGGAAAGCAGAGGAAGACAGTCCAAGTACTTGGGTCCCTACCACCCATGTGGAAGATCCAAACAGATTTCCAGTCTCCTGGCTTCAGCCTGGCCCAGTCCCAGTTTTGTGGCCACTTGGGGAGTGAATTAGGGGATGGAAGATCTTTCTCTGTCTGCCACTCTGTCTCTATAACTCCACTTTCAAAATATAAATTATATCTTTTTAAAAAGATTTTATTTATTTATTTGCAAGGCAGAGTTACAGAAAGAGAAAGAGAGAGAGAGAGAGAGAATCTTACATCCGCTGGTTCACTCGCCAAATGGCCACAATGGCCAGAACTGGGCCAGGAGCCAGGAGCTTCTTCCAGGTCTCCCATGTGGGTGCAGGGGCCCAAGCAGTTGGGCCATCTTCTACCTCTTTCTCAGGCACATTAGCAGAGAGCTGAATAGGAAGTGGAGCAGCTGGGACTCAAACGGGCACCCATATGGGATGCCAGCACTGCAGGTGGTGGCTTTACCTGCTATGCTACAGTGCTGGCCCCAGTAAATAAATCTTTTTAAAAATCTTTCATTATGTCACACTCTATTAAAAATAACAAACTAGACGATAGAATTTCAGGGGTTTTCATTATAAAAAATGTTAAATTCTTGAAAGAATATATTTACCTAGATTGGTCACTACAAAATGCACAGATGTATCAAAATATCACACAGTACCTCATTAATATAATTTTTGTTTTATAAAATAAAAAATCATTTTAAAGTTAGAAACTAAGGACAGATATTTTTAATCTTTAATTCAGAATTCTAGATTATTTGGGCCTGGAATTGTGGCGTAGAGGTTAAGGCTGCCACCTGAAGTGCCAGCATCCCATACAAGTACTGGGTGTTCTACTTCCAATCCTGCTCCCTGCTAATGCGTCTAGGAAGGCAGTTGGAGATGGCCCAAGTCCTTGGGCCCCTGCACCCATGTGGGAGACCTGGATGAAGCTTCTGGTCTTGGCTTTGGCTTGGCCCAGCCCTGGCCACTGAAGTGAATTTGGGGAGTTAATTAGTGGATGGAAGATGTCTCTCTCTCTCTCTCTCTGTGTTTGTGTGTGTGTATCTCCCTCTCTGTAACTCTTTCAAATAAATAAATAAATATTTAAAGACATAATAAGAAAGAATTCTAGATTATTAAAATATTATACTAAATGTCAGAAAAACAATTAAAACCTTCAAAGCCACCAAGATCTCACCTCTAGGTAAAAGCTGAAATGATCCCTAGTGGGTGGGTGCTTACAGTTTTTGCTACCCAGTACCCATATTCGCCTTCTTGTGGAAAAAGGATCTCTTGCTTCCTTTTCCACCTAGGAAGCCCTGGTCAGTGGATTTTTTCCCCCCTTGGTCATGGTGATTACTTCTGAGATGAGATATTAACCAACCAAGGTCAGCTGGAACTGAAGAGACTCCGGTCAAGAGTTTTTATCTGAGCAAGTGGGGACTAGTCTTGTATCCATAGGTGGCCTGAGAACGGGGTTGGGGCAGAGAAACTGTGAGAAAGAAAACCTATCACTGTTAAACTGTTTGAGCTCTGGATAAAACTGTATCTGTAGCACTTGGAATTTGCACAAACATTCCAAAGAGAACTACAATACAGAAGTGCTGACATTATTTGTAAATTTCTGTGTAAATTAAGGTCCTCTGCTTAAGACATCTTCTTACTATTGTGGCTCTTTTTTAAAAAAATTTTTCTGTGTGAGAAGCAGAGAGAAAGAGAGAGGAGAGGGGAGAGAGAGACACAGAGACAGAGAGAGATAGAGAGCAAGAATGAACACAGTAGCTCCTACCCGGTGGTTCACTCGCCAAAACTGAAACCAGGAGGCTCAGTCCAGGTGGCAGGGACCCAACTATCTGAGCCACTGCCTGATTCATCCCAGGTTAAACATTAGTAGGAAGCTGAATCTGTCACAGAACTTGGACTTGAACCCTAGCACTGTGATATGGGACATGGGTATCCCAACCAGCCTCTTAACCATGAGGCCAAAAGCTCACCCGTTTGCAGCTCTTTTAAGAGCCTTTGTACCTTTGCACATGCTGCTTCGGCGACTTGTG